GAATATTTGTGCTAAGAGATGTAACAATTCCTAAATGCATGTAGCACTTTCACTATGGACAAGTGTTTTACTTTCATCTTTGACATATAGACCTGGTACATGTGTGCAATATTATGTGTTATGATGGTGAACATTTGTGTCACCTAACGCTAAGATCATTCAATCCATGTTTATTTGACCTGGCTACAGAGAACAGTCTGAGGTTATAAAAAATCTTTAAGTTCAAACTAAGTTTTTATGTATTTGATTGGTCAAAAACTGCAACAGAATTGTGTACACTGACCAATGACAGCTCTGATATTTGAGACAAAACTCAGAAAAATAGTTTTTTGAACCTTGAGGCCTGAATTCTGTTAGCAAAACTCTGGTGAACATTCAATAAGCTAAATTATATAATAATCTATCAATTTAAGTTTTGCTATGGACAAGCCTCTATATGTGTGACCTTGACCATTGACCTGAAAAGGTACTTCATGCACATGACACTACTTCTCAAGATGTATTAAATCATTCTATGCATGACTAGTGTCACAGGGTGAGAAAAATGTGCAGCCTGACCGGGACTCGGACCCGGGACCCTCGGAATACAGTACCGCGGCTCTACCGACTGAGCTATCCGGCCGCTTACACATCTTCTCCCCCTATATAGTGAACAGTTTTGAGCCGTGACATACTCCCCTGCTATATTGAAATTTGTCCTCGAATTTCACAGAGTAACAGAGCAATGTGAATTAAACTCTGAGCTATATTCAGTCACGGCCCCACGTTGGGCGCCAAATGTCACAGGGTGAGAAAAATGTGCAGCCTGACCGGGACTCGAACCCGGGCCCCCTCGGAATACCGTATCGAGGCTCTACCGACTGAGCTATCCGGCCGCTTACACATCTTTTCCCCCTATATAGTGAACAGTTCTGAACCGTGACACTAGAAATAGAAAATTTGCTTCCTACAGGCATAACCTTCTGATAACTTAGTGTGACCTTGACATTTGACCTAGATTCATTATTCCTTCATGTGACACAACATCTCATGATTATTTGTATTGATCAAGTAATCCAGCCATATATATATACAGAAACTAAGGTCTTGACAGAAACTGGACATTTAATTTATCTTTGGTGACCTTGACCTATATATTTGATGCATATATTCCCCTGGATTATATTAGGTTACATTAAGTCTTATGACTGTGAACATTTGTGATTATCTCTCAATTCAAGACACCTTCATAGCCTGTATCTTAGTTACTACTACCTCCTCATTGGTCACACTAGGGAAATTGAACTTTGTGCCTAACAATGGTGAACAAGTTATATTAAAATCCCTTGATGCATGTAGAAATTTTGCTCTGTCTTATCTTTTGACAAATATTTTCATCTTCTTAATGTGACCTTGACCTTGTCCATGTAATCAACACTAAGTCCCCAAAGGTATTACATAATACAACCCATTAATCAACCAGCAAAGAAAAATAGTAAGCATTATCCTTTGAAGTACATGTATATCTGTTATGGTAAACAGACCAAGAATTAAGTCAAACATATTCCTACATCAAATATATTCTCATAAAAATTACATAAAACACTTCTACAACAGAATATAGGGCAAGTTACAGACTGAAAGAAGAATAAATACTCCACCAATCATATAACTTATATTTTAAGTAGCATATACATTGTATCTGACAAATTGTATTTCATTTATTGGTCTTATTTTGTCAATATACTTTATTTATTCCATAATTAAAGACTAAAGTTATAATTATAATATTTTTGTAATATTCTGACATTACTTAATGAATCTTTTTAAAAAGTTTTTTTGTGATGATAACATTAGCATTGTTATACCCTAAAATGTGTCAGCAAGAAATTATATAGAAACATAATGTGGCGTGGTGAACAATAAAGTGGCTCCTATGCTTGAATTAATTTACTAGCTGCCTCCACTTTAGTACCCTTGAAAGTTACCTTATGATTTACTTATATACTGCTTAAATGCCCCTAAAGCCACCAAAACATTATAGAATATAATTGAACATTACTATTGGTTTCATTGCTTGTTGCTGGGATTTGGTTAACCGATAGCTGAAAAAAATTATGTTTGCTGTTGCAGAACAATACTAATTAATGACAGAGTGGGTAAGAGATTCATTAACAAAATAAGATGACAATAATGCTCGATCATTAGTGTTCCAAATATGGAATATAGGTTAAAATTCATTATTACTTTCTTACCCACTAACAGTAATTATGTTTCTCTTATAAATTAGCTTTCTTCTCATAGATTATGAGGGTCCATTTTTTCAGTTTTATTTCTCTGTTTTGAGAACATTGTAATTGTATTTTAGTCCATTGTAAGACCTTTAAATTCCAAATGTTGGCAGTGTTGCCAATTCCAAGTCAACACAGGACATGTCCACTACACACATTGTACTTTAATGTGAATCAACATTTTTATATACATTCATTGTAATGACTGTAACATGTGCACTAAGTTCATCTGCATCATCCTTTAAATTTGCATAGTTTTGGGGGTGGGATTATCTAGATGTTCAATGTGATAAAAAGACATTAATGATATATATTAAACTATGTCCTTGTTGAAACAAATGCTTCATATCCTTTACACATTTATCAAGTTTAGTGTGTCATGAGGCCAGTAATGTGGGCATTATCAGTGTGAATCTCTTCATACAATACCCACTATACACTTGATTTTCTATATTTGGACACCTTCCCTCTTCACAAGTGGCTTTTTTTGGATAACAAAATACATAAAAGTATGTGAGGCTTATCAAAGTCATGAATATTTCTCATTGGTTTCATCTGATAAAATTAAACAACAACATTAATTTCCTATCATAAAAATTTTCACCTGAAAATAGATCACATTTGTTCAGGTGATTTACATTAAAAAATTACATTATGAACACAGCTTACATAGATTCCATTATTGTGTGTGAGAAAATAATTTAAATTATTATTACCTGATGTGATATCTTAATGTTAACATAACTTTATTTTTATAATGGTATTTTCCCTGGTTTGACTGAATCTATTTATATTTTTTATTTTATTTTATGGGAGTTTCATAAACAGATTAATTTGAGCAACCAGAAATTCTGGTCCATTGATATCAACTTGAATTTGAATTGATGGACCTTCCATAAAGATAAACATATAGTTAGCCACTCTTATGGTCAATAAATTGGCCGTCTGGGGGTGGGTTGGGTATGGTGCTGGGGTTTTTGAGATTGACCTTTCTTATAAACAGCAAGACTTTTAGTATTTTAATAGATAATCAGTGTGTTATCAAGAAGGACCAGCAAGTTTAGAAAGATCACATCATTACGTCTTTCTCTTCTAAGAAACAAACAATAAATTCTTCAGCCTTAAGATTATAATCTGAAGAGCCCTCCTTGATTCTCTATGAATAATTAATTGATTAATTAACTTACTGTTTTATTTTATGATATCACTGATTTTTACTCCATTAATTAAGAGAGATAAAAACTTTCAGGTGTCTTTTAAAAACATCATTGGTGTGTTATTATCTTAGAAATAAATAGGAAACACTTGAACATTTGTGCAGGAACATAAAACTTGTAGAAACAAGGAATTTTAACAAAAGATGGAATTATTAACAAAAAAATTCAAAGGTAAAAGAATTAAAGTAAGTTTTAATTTTGAAGTGCCAAAACTCAAAACTCCATTACAACTGTCAGTGTGTAGTGTCTGTAAGACGAATGGTTTAGAATGTTTGCAATTTGATATTATAATGTTAGCAATGTAATTGTGAGGAAGCTTGTTAATGGACTATATACAGTAGTTCTTATATTCTTTCAATGCAACTCCATCATTCTGCTAAAATTTTAGTGCCAGGAATACAAATCTTCATTAAATCAATCTTTGTGACTGTATCTAACCTTTAAAGTCTTGATACAAAACGTTCTTCGTCTTACAGTAAATGATAAAAGACAAGTTCATTTCATAAATCAGGAGGGATAATGATAAGCCTGATTTGGTATTATTTTCTATATGTACTTTAATGCTAGATACTGAATACGGTTAACAAGTACGACATGTTATAACGAGTAATTTTCTCCCAGAAATGGACTGGAAAATAATTATCTGTTTAAAGGGATACTCAGGCAAATAAATGACAAAAATATTAAAATGATTTAATGTACTCAAATCATGCTAAAATGACATTTTTTAAAGTCCCAGCATGAATTTCTGTATAAATTCTATAAATTTTGGGTTTGAAGCGTAAATATATAGGTGTATTGAACGAAATTAAGACACTGACAAAATCACTAAGTATCACATATATCGTGAATATTGTATGATTGAAACAAGTCTATTATAAGTCATTTTTTTTATATGTTCTTCAACGTTTCCGGAGTTCACTGCAGCAACTATTGTGAAATTTTAAGCTCTTACCTGACCCACATGGGTCAAGTTAGGAAAGCAGTATTTTATTCTTTATAAGGAGAAAAGTTTTGTTCCAATGACTGTCAAGTGCATTTACTTTGAGGACATTTACAGAAGTATGAATGAAAAAAATCAAAATGAAGAAATGAAAATTTTGCCTGTGTCTCCCTTTAAAAAAAAAGGAACTTACAGGGAAACTTGAAAGTAGAAATAACTCAGACCTTACAACTAAAGGTAAGACATTGTTGCTTTGAATCTTTTACTATCTGATTACATATTCCATTATCATCAGTGTTTACAATAGCAAAACAACAGTCTGGATAATAGTACAAAAATTTTGTAAAAACATTTGAAAATTTTATCTGAACATTATTTTGAAGGGGAGATAATTTCATGAAAATCAATGCTAGAGTTAAGGGTCTTGGTCAGTGGACTACAAAAAGACATTGTATGATGTTTTATAAGATTGAGAGATATGAAGTTACATGCAAAACTTAAAGAAAAAGTGTTACACAGACTGGTTGATGAGTATGTTGGTAACTCAGTCTAGGTCCCTGTATTCTAGCGTCTAGAATAGTTTCTGGTAATTGTGGGAATTTTCAGTGATTTAACAACCAATAGGTGGATTACTGTAGCACGATCTGTCAATGGTATATACTCTTGATCATTCTGTTATTGGAAAATACTTGGTGCCGTGGATTTTAACAGGTACTGCCCATGGTAGTAGTAGTGTGTTCTAAGGCAATAATTTAATACTAGAATATTTACTATGACGAAATGTTTCTAAGCAAAACTGTTTAATTTCTCTTATTAAATTAACAATTAAATTGTGAGTATGAAAATTTGAAAGAATTTATGAAAATAATGGTTTTAATTATCTATGTCTTTTTTCTTTAAGGATGTTATATTTATCAATATTTGTTATTCTAAGATTTTTTTTTAATAATTGTACATAATTAATTTAAAGCTTAATTCCTTGGTAATACTTTGCATATTGAAGTTAAAGAATTTTGTTCTCAAAGTTATCAAATATTTTCCAGAAATTAGTACCATAAAGAAGTTTCTAAGATAGAAAATTATTTCTGTTCTTATGATACAAATATATTTTGCATCCAAAGAAATTACACTATCATTTTTAAAAAGAAATTTCTTTTTCTTCTATTTATTACAGAAAATGAAATAAATCCAAAAATACCTGAATTCTATCATAAAGCATCAACTATAAACATGGACAGTTATTTTACCATTGATTTACAATAAAGTTATTGAAAAAAACTAGGAATACAACACTGTGTGGATATTAAATTCTGGATTTCCTTGTTTTTCAATTCATAATGGAAAGGAACAAATACTGAAACATCCGGATAAGTAAAGAGTGGAATTTATTTATTGGATATTACAAATGTGGAGTGTAGTACCGATGATGTACGGAATGAATGGCAGTTCCATTGAATCAAATGACACATGTTTTAATGGTACATGTATACCGGTGCCTGGGGCAAGCGTGAAATGGGGGCTTCTGGCCCTCATTGTTGTGATATTATGTACAGCTTTAGGAAATTTACTTGTGTGCCTGGCTGTGTGTTGGGAGCGTCGCTTACAGAATATGACAAATTATTTCCTCATGTCCCTCGCCATCGCTGACTTCCTTGTCTCCATTATTGTCATGCCTTTTGGAATGGTTGTAGAGATCTATGGTGGGTATTTTACTAATTTCTTTACTAGCCACATGCTCTTTATTAAATACATTTATATCATTGACATATTCCAGTTTAAATTCTGAATTCATTAACAATCACTCCATTTCTTTTAGCAATTAATTCATTATAAACTCAATTCTTTTATTACCTCTTTTCTTTGAATTTAAATTAAATTTTCAAACCAAATATTTATTCATTTTCAGGATTTATTCTATTCTATCATTTAATTAACTCATTAATTCATTCATGAATTTGTTTATTTAACTTTATTCTTTTAATTTATTCATAGTATGTTCATTTTTATTGATTCTTTTCCTTAATATAATATTTTTGTTGTCCAATCTAGCTATCATTCATTTTTATGATGTACACTATATCATTGAGACACGTGAAGCATTAATTTTATATCCATATCTACAATACCTATGTATTTGTATACAATCATGTATATCTTATATATTCAACTTTATTTGTACAAATATCTCAACCAAGAATCACTCAATACACAATACTTATATCTAGATACTATTTCACATTTATCCATTTCCTACATAAAGAAAAAGGGAAATAATTCTAGAAATACTGAACACTTGTTCCTTGTCATGCAGATGTACATTATAAGCTGAAGCAAATATACCAAGAATGAGAACAATATCTTTGATAGTTTTCAAACTTTGTTTTTTTTATTATTAACCAATTTTATCAAACATTTTTAAAACCACTCAAATATTACAGTAGGGTTAAGGCCCCTAAATATAACTTTTACCAAAGCAACTTCATAACATATTTGACATATGGCATAACATGAAGGTTTGCAGGACCTAAAAACACATTTTTCACATGTTGAACATAATGACTTCTTAAACTAATTTTATCACAAAAAACACATTTTACAAAAGCTAAATGAGCCATTATAAATGGGGCAGATATATGTAATAATTAAGAGATCTGTGGGCTGTACAGTATACACCTGGTAATCTGGCACCAAAACTTTTATCTATTTCCTTAATTTCCTTTTCTTCCTAATATTTTCGCAAGAAATATAAGCAAGAAACCAACTATCAGATATTTCATGCCGAGTATAAATCAAGTTCAAGACAGAATGTGCAATATGGTAGGTAAATTATCAAGGAATTTTCCTACTATATTGCATGATAATTTTCTACAATTTTACATTTATCCTTGATAATGTCCCTACCATATTACATCTAAACCTGATAATTTCCCTACTATATCGCATCTTATCTTACCCTAATAATTTCCCTACAATATTGCATTTAACCCTGATAATTTCCATAACATATTGCATCTAAACCTGATAACTCACCAACCATATTGCAGCTAAGCCTGATAATTTCCCTACCATATTGCATTTAACCCTGATAATTTCCCTACCATATTGCATCTTACCATAATTTCCCTACCATATTGCATCTAAACCTGATAATTCACCCACCATATTGCATCTAAACCTGATAATTCACCCACCATATTGCATCTAAACCTGATAATTCACCCACCATATTGCATCTAAATTTGATAATTCACCTACCATATTGCATCTAAACCTGATAATTCACCCACCATATTGCATCTAAACCTGATAATTCACCCACCATATTGCATCTAAACTTGATAATTCACCTACCATATTGCATCTCAACCTGATTATGTCCCTAACATATTGCATCTAAACCTGATAGTTTACCTAACATATTGCATCTTAACCCGATATTTTCCCTACCATATTGCATCTAAACATGATAGTTTACCTAACATATTGCATCTAAAAGTGATAGTTTACCTAACATATTGCATCTAAATCTGATAGTTTACCTGCATCTGACAATGATAATATTTCTACAATATTGCATCTTACCTTGATAATTTAACTTCAATGTTACATATTAACACAAGAAACATGGCAATGCCATGAAACCAGGTTTTCAATTATCACCATTGTAGATAAATATGTTGTATTTGAAATACAAATACAAGCAACAAACAATGTAACTATGTGCAATGTAAAACATGAATAATGTAGGAGGAATTGCCACTGAAGAAGTGTTCACTATAATATTATGTATAAGGAAAAAAACAAAGGGCCATAATTAGGTCAAAAACTATCCAATCACAAAACCCCGACAATATGTGCCAGGGTGCTTGATGACAAAGCTTCTGTGAAAGTTTGAATGTAGGACGAGTTCAGCACAGAAGAATTTGTTCACTATAATTATATTGATAATTCTGTATAATGAAAAACAAGTTACAAAGTAGACATGAAATAATATATCATATCTTTTTTAAATTACCTCCAAAGATGATATGACCTTTGACTGCCAAATCAAGTTAAAATCATGTAAACAGGATTTTCAATGTTAATGTCACTGTGACCTTGACCTTGGAGCCAGCCATGCGGAACATGCGTTCTGCACGTCATCTTGATGTGGTAAACATTTGTCTGAAGTTTCATCAAAATTCTTCAAAGGGTTGAAGAGTTACAGAGCGGACAGGATTTTCAATGTTAATGTCACTGTGACCTTGACCTTGGAGCCAGCCATGCGGAACATGCGTTCTGCACGTCATCTTGATGTGGTAAACATTTGTCTGAAGTTTCATCAAAATTCTTCAAAGGGTTGAAGAGTTACAGAGCGGACAGGATTTTCAATGTTAATGTCACTGTGACCTTGACCTTGGAGCCAGCCATGCGGAACATGCGTTCTGCACGTCATCTTGATGTGGTAAACATTTGTCTGAAGTTTCATCAAAATTCTTCAAAGGGTTGAAGAGTTACAGAGCGGACAGGATTTTCAATGTTAATGTCACTGTGACCTTGACCTTGGAGCCAGCCATGCGGAACATGCGTTCTGCACGTCATCTTGATGTGGTAAACATTTGTCTGAAGTTTCATCAAAATTCTTCAAAGGGTTGAAGAGTTACAGAGCGGACACAATTTCGTTTGACGCCCGCCCGCCCATCCGCCCGCCATACCCCAATCTAATAACCAGGATTTTCAAAATTGAAAACCTGGTTAAAAATATGTCTTGTTAAATTCATTTAAAGAACAGACATCATACATGTATTGTTTTTAACTTAAACTAATTGACACCTGAGATTTCTCCACTCATTGACTGTCTGTAAAGGGTAGTCATTAACTGCTTTAACAATTGGCATCTATTGGACACTTCATGTCATTTCCCCCTACAGAATCTCTCTATTTACCTCAGAATTATTTCATAGAAACAAGATAAAGTTAATGAATACTACACGATCTTTATCACAATTGTTTCTAATTAAAACTGCCTACTCCAAAATGTACTTTTATCTATTTCTTTTAAGTACTGGTATGAACATTATAAGGATGGGTTACACTGGGTGGATCAAATGTTGCAAAAAATGTTCATCAAAAACAAACTTGGCTTGTTAATAAAAAAATATAAAAAAGATAAGGCATGAACATCAAGGTAATTTAGAGCCTGAAACATGTTGGTAGTTGATGAAGCATAGACACATCCAACAAATGTTTGCAAAAAAACATGCACCTTTATAGTATTACTGTTGTACTTTTGTTTATCCTGGTCTCACAGAGACTTGGTAAACATTATATAAGTACTGGTACATGGGGCAAATTAATATTGTGACAATACTCAATGTTTTTAACTTCTTCTCATGCTACATTTATTAGATTTAAATTATATAATATTATATTGCAATATGTTAGTACAGATATGTATCGCAGTGTGTCATACTTTTTGAGATTATCTTGTTTTGTTAGAGGGATTATTTTCTTTGACCTTGACTGTCTTCTGTTAATCAGATAGAACATTCATTTCAGTCAATTAAAACCATTCATTTAATTTAAATACTTTAGGAATTTTCATTTCAATTCACCTATTTCACAAGGGAAACATGCTCATCTTTCACCTTCATAATTCAAAAATAATCATTAAATCTAATAACATTTGGCTCTCTAGATAAAACATTTCAACCATTCATAAAAAGTTCAAACAATTATTTTATTTTGCTACATGTTCCTGAATTTGTAGAGCAAGGCCTTTGTAGTCACAGAAGAGCAAAGTTCTAAAAGCCCTTATCTTAAAAGCAATATAGATAACTAGCATTATTCGGTCTCTAGAGCTTCTAGTTACACAGATTGTACAAGAACCTGAAACCAGTCTGTATTGTTTTAATAAGCATGAACTGAAACAGATCAAAAGAGTTATCAAACTTGAGAACCTGTCAATTACTGATTCAATTGGCACCTATTAGTTGGTTAAGAAAAGTATGAAACAATAAATCAATGGAAATTTTACAGAACTTTGAACTGTAGTTAAAAAATACAAAAAAAAATAATTCACTTGACATTAGTACTGGGAACATTCTTATAAAATTGTTGGTAGAACTTTAAACAAAACAAAAACAAACATGGGTCTTCAGGTACACTCTGTTAGAAAAGTGGTTAGATACAGGCTGTAGTGGGAGGACACACAGATGAACATCTGACTAAATAATATTTAATGTTGTCTGTAGTAAAAAACTGATGAATTTATCAGCTGTCTACGCCTGTTAACTGATGATTCAATCAGTATCAGCTCCTCCAATCTACAAGTATCTGCCTACAATCTACCTTTACTAATCAGGTGCAAATATATAGCTATAGCAGCCAGTAATGTAAATATACCTACTTCTATGCTGTTTTTTAAGATGAATTTAATTACAATTAGGACATGAATTAATTAGCATGAATTAATGAGAATAAATATTATAATTTCTAATAATTAAAGGTAAAAAGTAACATTTTAAAGAAATTCATCTTAAAATTTCTAAAACTTGTTGTTGTTTTTTTTTGTGTGTTCCTCAGATAAATCTTATTCAAACCATTCTGTCATCCACTAGCCCTGGAGAGAAGATATTAAATGGTTTGTCTATGTCACTACTGTATTGTGCCTTAAATAATATAGGCCAGACCATAGTTTATAAATTTGGCTGTTCAATTT